ATTTAAGGCAAACTTGTCCATATTCATTGTCTCTGCCCACACTCTATGCCTAATCAGGGCGAGGCTCCTCCGTCCTCCAACCTCACCGTCTCACGCCAGCCACCTCCCCTCAATGCTGAGGCCCACAGTTCTGTGGTCCAGGGCTCTGGCACAGGTGAACCCTGAGGGGAACTCACGTAGAAGTGAAAATGCAGAAAGTGGGCCAGCACTCTGGGGGCTACGCCAGGGAAGGCAGCCAGCAGCGTCTGCAGGTACACCTCCAGATCCTTCTCCCTCTTCTCCACCAGGCTGCGGGAGTTTTTCCCAATGATTTTCTTGGGCGGAAGTAGGTTTTTATCAATCTTTCTCTCGGTGACAAGCTGTAAGAAAACACAAGCCAGTCAACCAGACACCAAGAGTCTGCCCCCAGAAGCCCGAGGTGCACTTGTCAGGGCTTCCACAGCCTTCCTGGTGACAGTGCCAAGATTAGGGGCCCAACTAGCAGGCTCTGGCCTCTTCAAACCCACACGGTGTCAGAAACACCAACAAGCCTAGATGAGACACTCCACTTGGGGACTGTGGAGCCCTCAGAAGTTATACCTCTGAGCCCCTCGAACTGCTGTTATCTCCAAATTGGAATGAAAACCAATCAGGGAGCATGCCTGTCTCTGAAACACACAGCCAAAAACCCAAGGAAAGGCTCCCTCCTGAAGCAGAAATGCAATCCTGGCCAGATCTGAAAGGGCAGGCTGTGCACCTGCTATTAAGTGGAACAAATTTAATAAATTTATCCCTGTCTCTTCTAGCACTGACAATTTTTTTAAGACTTATTTCTTTGAAAAGTAGACTTACAGAAAAGAGCAAGAGGCATTTAGGTTCACTCTCTAAATGGCCATAATAGATGGCTGAGCCAAGCCCAAACCAGGAGCTTCACCAGGGTCTCCTGCGTGGGTGCAGGGACCAGGCACTTGAGCCATCCTCTGCTGCCTTCCCAGGCAGCTGGAACTTGAACTGGCTCTCATTTGGGATGCTGGTGCCACAGGTGGTGGCTTTCCCGGCAACACCACAGCACCCTCCCAGGACTGGAAATCTTAAAAAGTGAAACTCAAATACACTTCCTGCAGATGGTCTTGCGCTTGGGCTAAACTCCTACGGTCCACTAGTTCCTTCACAATTACATTAACAGGCTGGCTTACCAAAATGAGCCTATTTCGCCTTAAAGCTAACAGGTAGCCCAACAGGAACCCAGGCCAAGAGGCCCCCCCTGAGACACCTCTCCCAGTCCTCTGTTACCTTTTCATGCAGCTCATGGAAGTCACTGTAGCGGTGCTTGACTGTCCACTCATGGCCGCCATCTGTGACCTGGATGATGTAAACCTAAAAGGGGAAGCCGACAGCCCAAGTGGTGAGGGGAGCCTGCCCCAGGGGTCTCTACCCCGGAGCAGTGACTTCAGAACACTCCCTGCCCCCAAAGGGCCCAAATCAGCTTATCCTTGTCCACCAGCCTCTGGAGGGCTTTTGCTGAGCTGGGTGGGGAGGGTAACCAGGGGGACAAGGGTGTCCCCCTCTATCTGCTAGAGGCTGGGAAGCCCATACACAGGCCTGTGGCTTCCCTACCCCTAACGACAGGGAAAGGTGATTCTAGAACAGGCTGCCCCTCTGGTTTACCTCTTGCCTCCAGGTAGTGCAAACCCTAACCTTACTGCAAGCAAGGCCACCGCTTCCCCACAGGCAGAAAAAGGACAGGTCCTGCAGGAGCTGGCCCTCTGCTGTGCATCTGTCTCCAGGTGCCCTGTCTACATCCTAGGAACAAACTCCTCCCCAGCCCTTTCTGCTGGTTCATGGCAGTGATTTCAGCTGCTGAGGTGGAAATCAAGGTCCCAGGAAGTTTACGGGAGAGTCAGGGGTGGGGGCGGGCAGCCAACAGAGTCCAAACAGGAGGCAATGCATGTGACTTTCCAACTAAGCAAGATCCAGGTTCAAATCCCCGGCTCTGTGGCATACATGTCACTAAACATAAATGATCGCCAGCCTAAGTTCTGCACCTCACTTTTCCTGTGTTAAATGCCAGTGAAGAGCCCAGGAGGGAAATGCACAGCAAGGGACTGAATGGGGTCCAACAGTTAGCCAGCGAGGAGTCATCACCCTACCAATCTTACCGTCACTGTCCGACCAAGCACCCCAGGGACCCAGCATGATGGGTCGGATGGGATCTCCTCCTCCCTTTCCCCTCCCTATGTGGAGACCACTACCTGCCTATGGCAGCCCAGGCCTGAGGGACTTGCCCGGATGCACCTCTGAGCCCCTCTGTGGCCAGCAGGGAGGCAGGGAGGGAACAAGGAGCAGCCATTTCCCCTGTGGCTCTCTCCACCACAACCCTCCCTCCCCATCACAGGAGAAAGAGCCAGAAAGGCCACCAGGAGGTGGGGCTTAGAAGGTCAGCCCAGAGTGGGGCGCAGGTAGGTCAAAGCCCCCACCCCCCTGCCCTCCAGGGACAAAGGATGAGAAGCTGGGCAGTTCCTGGAAGGCTCACTGCACCCCGACCCCAGGGTCCCTCTCAGCCTGGCAGTCCACGCCTACAGTCTGGCATCGTACCACTTCAGGGTCCGAGATGAACCCCCCCTTTCTGTCCTGACTCCCCTATGGCTTACAGGTAGGTGCCAGGGCCTGCTGCCTGCCCCACCTGGCCCCTAAGCGGCACACCGAGTAGCCTAAGGTTTCTTCAGCCGGTGCAACAGGCCTGAGGACGTCCCTCCCCTCCGCGGCTCTCCTCTCCACCAGACCACCAGAATCCCTCTTCATCAGACCACCAGAACGCCCCCCGCAGCCCCAAGTCGCTCTCTTTCACATCTCTGCCTTAATCCCAGGGCACCCCCCCCAACAAGCCCCGCCCCTCTCCCTCACGGCCCGTTGGGGCCCTGGTCCTTGCTCCTCCACCATGGCATCCATCACCGATTCTCCCCGAGCCCCTCCTCCCCAGCACTTACACCCCCGCACACACACCCCGCCAGCCTGGAGGGTCTTAGGGGGGCAAAGAGCATCCTTTAAAGAGCCCCGGCTCCTTCATTCCCAAACCCTTTCAAACCCAAGTCTCCTGTGGTGGTCGTATACCCCTTTCCCGCAACCCATCTGGGACCCTTCTGGTGGGCCTGCAAAACCCAGACCCCTTCCCCTAATTTTCCCACCCCAAACCCCTCTCCACTCAGTCGCACGCCCCTCCACCCTCTCCTCAAGACCCAGACACGGCCTGCCACCCACCCCCACTGAGGGTGTCGGCGCCCCCAGCACACACCGTGTACGTATCCACAAGCTCGGAGCCCACGACGCGCGCTTCCTTGGCCGGCTCGGCCTCCCGCTCGGGCCCGAAGCCGCCCGCCGCCGCCGCCATGTTCGGGGTTCGGCCGCCCGGCGCAGACTGGCAGCAGCAGGGGGCGGGCTCAGCGTTCCGCCGCCCCCCGGCCCCCGCCGCCCCCCGCCCCCGCCGCGCGCTGCGCCGCCATCTTGCCCCGCCGCCGCCTCAGCCTCCGGCCCGCCCCTCTGGCGTGACGGACAGGCGCTGCGGACGGCGCGCGTGCGCAGCCCGGGGTTGGTGGGGTACCTCCTGTCCTACACCCCAACGAGAAGCTCGGGTGGCCTGTGCGAGCGCCGAGCCGCTCCTCTCGGCCCTGGAGGAGGGAGGACGACAGAGGCTTGGTGCCTTCTGGCAAGCCGCTGCTCTGTTTAGCTAGGTTTCTTCCTCTCCCTGGGTGCGGTTCCCTGCCTGGCAGGGGCGGGGTCGACCAAGCCCTGAGCTCAGGGCTCAGGCAGAGTCGATCCTCGATTTCTCCAGGCCCTTGGCGGCCGCTGGAGAATTGAGTGGGCTCAGCACGCAGTGGTGCACAAGTTAGGGAGTTTGTCCAGAGAGGGCGTCGTGGGGAGGGGGTCTTGGCGGTGGCAAAGGGGAGCCGCAGTACAGGGGACCCCCAGATGGCATCCTGCCAGAGCATAAAAAAGAATGGGGGACAGAGGCTGGCCCTCCCTCCAGGCGGGGTGTGTGTGTGTGTGTGTCAGTGCTACTAGGAGCAAGGAAAGCCTGAGTCTGTGAGTCTGCGAGGAAAGAGGAGAAGCCGGCACTGATGGGCACTGGGGCACTTCTGGGGTGTTTGCGAATTGGACTGCGGGTGGCAAGTGCAGCGCAGCAGTGCCGCCCCTTGGAAAGCTGGAAGGCCATCCCTTGGAAAGCCGAAGAGCTGCCCGTCCTGAAGTGGGCCAGAGCATGGCTCTCTTCACCATCCCCAGGCCCTGTTCCTTGAGCTTGTCATTTCAGGCTTCTCTTGGTACCCCCTGTTCTTGCTCCCCATTCCAGAGAGGTGGGGCTTGAGACAGGGGCTGCCAGGACCCCCAAACCCGGGCCACTTTCCCATGGAAAGTGGAAGCAGTGGTTTACATCTTGGGGGCTGGAGCCACTGCGTGAGGGTCCTGGCTGCCATGCACTGTGGTGCAGATCTCACCCCCTCCTGGGCTCAAGCTTTCATTTACTCAAAGACCTTTCCAGGGGCTGGCACTGTGGCTCAGTAGGCTAAGCCGCAGCTCATGATGCCGGGACTGGAGTCTCAACTGAACTCCTTCCAGTTTGGCTTCTGGCTGACACACCTGGGAAGGCAGCAGATGCTGGCCTAAGGACTCGGACCCCTGCCACTCTTGTAGGACCCCATGTTGGAGTTCCTGGCTGCTGGGTTAACCCTAGCCCAGACCTGCCAGCCGTACCTATTTGGGGAAGTGTATCAGCCAATGGAAGGTCTTTTCATCTCTCCCTGTCTTCTTCTTTCTCTGTCGTTTTTGCCTTTCAAATAAAAATAAATATTAAAGGAAAAAAAAAATCTTCATTGGAGAGTCTCAGGCGGGCTTCTCTTTGTTGTCTTCTTTCTGCTGCCTGTCCCAGGCAGAGGACACAGGGACTATGACTGTGAGATCACCAGGACGGGGAGGGGGCGGAGGATGCTGGTGGGCTGGGCTGGGCTGGGCTGACTGGGAGTGAGATGGCTGGGGCAGGGCTATTTAAGCCGAGGTCCAGGGCTGCTGGCAAGCCCAGCAGCTGACCGTCAACTGCAAGCATGGATGACATCTACAAGGCCGCGGTGAGGGACCAGGCTGGGCAGGGCTGGGGTGGGAGGGGTGAGACCGTTGGGGATTCAGTAAGCATAGAATGGGGACCAGGGACCCTCCTGGGGAAGGTGGTGGGGACCCAGGAGAGAGCCCAGAGAAATGTGTGCCTTCAAAGGCATGGTGGGTCTGGCATTCAGGGGTGGTGGGAAGGAGGGTGGCAAGTCTGGAGAGGAACTGTCAAGGGGGCAGTGAGTGAGTCAGAACCCTGGGCATCACATTCCCTATCCCTCAGCCCCAGCTCTACCTTGTATCTCTGGTCTCTGCTCCCCTGGTATTGCCTCTCCAAATCTCTATGGCTGCCTCCTATGCCAGGCATTCCCTATCTGTCACATCCGGGTTCTGTTGAGCACACGCTTGCCGTGCCCCACCTGCTCCCACTTCCCAACTGACTTGAGGAGGTTGCAGGGCATGGACCTCCACCTGGGGAAGGGGCTTTGAAGTTAAAGACGGGAAGGCTTGGGTGTGGGTGAGAGAAAGACTGAGCTAGGGAGGAAAGGAACCCAGAACTGGGGTCCTAGACCCACGGGTAAGCTCAGTGGCTTAGCAGATGAGGGTGAGAGAGTGAGGGCTAGGGAGGGATCCCCCCAAGTCCCTACAGTGTATTGGGTCAGCCAGGAGCTTCCAAAGCTGTCCCATGGGAGGGAGGGTGCAGTGACCCCCACCCCCACCCCAGGGATAAGCACATGGAAGTACAGGAGCTGTTCCCAGGGGCACCCTCCCTTAGCCCCTTGAATGTGGCCCCACTGCTGGGCAGGGAAGGGCTACAGCTAGCTCTGGGGATACCCCCTGCTGCCCACAGGAGTCTATGGAGCTGGGGTGGGGCAGCCCTCCGCCCAGTGCCCATACAAGGCCTGGCGGGGCCAGAGACTAATTTTGGCTCCCAAGGCGGCAGGCAGCCGTGGGCCAGGGGGCCAGATAACACAGCCCCACCCCCTGCATGCCTCAGGCCCAGAACAATCACCAGGTTTAACTTTGTCCCCCTTTAAAAATAGCCCACTGGTCACCCTGATCGTATTACAGTGGGTGGCTTCACCCATCCCCTCCCCTGGTTTTTATTGTCCAAACCTGGGGGACAGCTGTCCCTCAGGCCACACAGCTTGGGTTTCATTAGGGAAGGCTGTGAGGACACAGAGTAGCCACTGGCTATTGTTACCCCAGGTCACCTTGGCCCTGGATGAGGTGCCCACCTGTCATCCTGGCTCCAATCCTGGCCTCAGCTGCGTCACCCCAGGGCTTTGGGACACAGAGGGAGTGCTGAGGCCCCTGCTCTGTGACCCAGGAGTGACTTGGAGCATCAGCCTTCCAACACCTTGGGGAATGGGATGCTTTCCTCGACAGCAGCTGAGGCTGGGTTTCATGTACTTGGATCCTTCTTCCCTAGGTAGAACAGCTGACAGAAGAGCAGAAAAATGGTGAGTGCCCCTTACTGCACACCAGGGTTGGGGGATCAGGGCCAGGTGGGGGGAGTAGAAGCTAGGGTTGCCCTGGTTGGGACTTCAGGGATCTGACTGGCTGAGCCACAGCCACTGTCCTCTCCCTCCAACTCCCTGGGTCTCCTGTGTTGACAGAGTTCAAGGCCGCCTTTGACATCTTTGTGCTGGGTGCTGAGGATGGCTGCATCAGCACCAAGGAGCTGGGCAAGGTGATGAGGATGCTGGGCCAGAATCCCACGCCTGAGGAGCTGCAGGAGATGATTGACGAGGTGGACGAGGATGGTGAGCCTATGCCCACTTATCTGATGGCCTTTCTCAGGCATCTTGTCCATCCAATGGGGGCGTGTGGACCAGAGACGGTGTGAGGGTATGGGGAGAACATGCAGACTGCCCGGATGGAAGCTGCTGCCTTACTGCTGTACCACCCACACTGCAGGCAGTGGCACGGTAGACTTCGATGAGTTCCTGGTCATGATGGTCAGGTGCATGAAGGATGACAGCAAAGGAAAATCCGAGGAAGAGCTGTCTGACCTCTTCCGCATGTTTGACAAGTGAGTACGCTACCCTTGACCTCTGACCCTGACCCAAGGGCCATGGGGCAAAAGGATGCCCCTTCTCCCAGTGCCTCCACATGCTGCCTCCTGGGGGTTGCAGTGTATGTGTGTGTCGGGGGGTGGGGGGACAGGGCTTGCCTCTGGCCCTCCCCTCAGTCCCACCATGGGCTCCCCACAGAAACGCCGATGGCTACATTGACCTGGATGAGCTGAAGATCATGCTGCAGGCCACGGGCGAGACCATCACGGAAGATGACATTGAGGAGCTCATGAAGGATGGCGACAAGAACAACGATGGCCGCATCGACTACGATGGTGAGGGGCAAGAGGCCGGAGCCCTACTGCCTGTGCCCCGCTGGACCCCTCTTCTCACACTCCCATCTGGTCCTCTCTCCACAGAGTTCCTGGAATTCATGAAAGGTGTGGAATAGACCAGAGCTGCATCTAGGACTGTCCGTGCCCATGCCAGCTCCAGCCAGGCCTGAAGGTGGCCTTGGGGTGGGGCCCCTGTCCCTGGAATCCCATCCAGTGGTGTGAATAAAACCTTTTTCCCCAGGGCCTCTGTCTGGTTCTCACTACACAAGCGCCTCCATTCCTGGCTTGGTACACTCTTGTCAGGCCCTGTTCTTGCTCCGTGTCTGTCTGCTGGCTGTGGAGCCATGTATCTGGCTTTTGCAGGAGGCGTGGATAAGCTGGGAGACTGCCAACATGCTCCATGCCCTGCCTGCTGCTTTCCACACTGGAAGTGATGCATTTTCACCAGCTTCTGGGTCATGGCTGTGACCAGGCAGTGGGCAGAGCCATGAGTGCAGAGCCCGGCTGGACCCTGTGTGCCCCTGGGCACAGAAGCCCCGGCAGCCTGTGGTGAAGCTGTCCCCTGGCCTAGGATGACAGCAGCTCCCAGGGGCATTGCCATCAAGTTGGCCCTGTTTCCTCTCCCCCTTTTGACAGGGGAACCCTGGGTCCTGAGCAGGTCTCCCTGTTAGTCTGAAGAAGAGAGGAACTGCTTTGTTTCCAGTCCAGGGCTCTGAGGGATGCCTCATCCCAACATAGCTGCTAGCTCCTGGGACTCCCCCAGACTGTCCACCAGCCACCCACCACCCAACCTCCCTCTCCAACCAGTTGGTTCTGAGCTCAGTGGAAGTGTCTGGGCCAGGGTAACAACTAGCACAGTGACACTCGCCTTGGAAGGGGCTGCAGGAAAGCAGAGGTGTTGGCATTTGCAAGAGGGCCAGCTGCCACAAGGCCCACAGCTGTCCCTGCTATCTCCAGCGTCCCCCGGCCTCTGCACCTGCGCCTCCGCCCAGGCATTCCCCACGCAGGCCTGGCATTCCAGAGACACTCTTGGAATTCTGCAGATACTTCTGGCAAGGGCTGGAGTTAGCAGGAGTAACCCGATGGCTCAAGAGACTCCAGGAACACTCAGGTCTGCCCTGGGTCGCCATTCAAAGCACCCATAGTGCCCACTTATGACAGTCAGCAACCGGGAGAGGAGAAAGGGCCCATGGACAGCCCCCAGCTGGGGCACTAATCTTCTGCTCACATACCTGCCACATACCTGACCAGAGACTGGAACACATAGAGCGAAGCTCAGTCAACTCAGAGATACTGAGAGGGGAGCAAGCACAGTGGACATCAGTGTGGGGCTAGAGTAGAGGCCAGAGTTGTGGTTGTCCATTAGTAGTCTGGGTGGACTTGCCAAAGTTGGCCTGGAGAAGAGCCCAAGAGGGCAAGAGAAAGCTCAGAGGAACCAAGTGGCAGGAAGGCAGTACTGGTGTGGGAGGAGGTGGCCAGAGTGAGACTGTGCAATATAGTATCTGATGGGGGAGCTGCCCCAGGGCTGCAGAGAGCAGGAAGAGTAGGGGGAGTCAGGTAGCCCTCCAGAGACCAGGGGGAAGGTCTTGCAGCTTGGGGTACATAGGCTGAGCGTATGTATTGGAGCCAAAGTGGACAGCACTTGCCAAGGGGAGGAAGTGAGAGGTGAGAAAGGAACCCTCCCAGCTTTGGCCAAACTGCCACTTCCCTGGAGCCTGCGGCGGCAGTAACTCCATGATGGGGTGGCAGGAAGTGGAAATAGCTTTGCTCATTGAGTGGTTTTCATGTGTTGAAATTCCAGACCTGAAGAAACAGGACAGAAAGTGCCCTGACACTTCACCTTGGTTCCCCAAATGTCCATACAGGAACAAACCATAAGACATCAGGCCGGCAGGTCAGCAGCAATGGCCCTATTCAGTCATTGGCTTACATGCTGTCCCTGCAGCACTGGGACCCTGGCGGAGACCACACCTGTGGCCGGCTGCTCCCCGGATGTTAGCCAATGTGGAACGCTCTCTTGATCTCTCCTCTGAGCCCACAACACGGGCCAAGGGCTCCTGTGTCAGGGTCTCATTAGCTTGGGTGTGTGCTGGCTCCTCAGGTTTAACTCAGGAGCAGCATTGGGGTAGGCGTGGAGTAAGCAGCAGGAGCCAACAGAGGAGGGGAGGGGCTGGACACTGGGTACTCAGCATGGCCATGGGAGGGGGAGAGGACTCAGGAGCCTGGCAGAACAGGAGGAAGTGTGGATGGAGGCAGATGCCCGCCCCTCCCCCCCCAGCCACTTGTCAGGAGAGGGTTCCAACAAGGAAGACAGGTCACCACTTGCAGGTGCTGACAGGGATGGCCGGTGAGGCAGGAAAGGGGGGCGGGATATTATGAGACAAAACATATTAGGGACAAAACAGCTGCAAGCCATGGCCCTGGTGCCTCCAGGCTCTTGTCCTCAGGGCCTGGCTCCAGCATTGGGCTGGGCTGTGGTTCCTAGCTGGATGAGGAGGAAGGAGAGGCTAGCAGACAAGTCTCAGGAGGGTAGGATCGGGGCTGTGGGGTACCGACTGCAAATCACACATGAGTCAGCTCTGGGCCCAGAAACTTGCACTGGCACAGGGCGTTTCTCTGCACTCAGCACCTAGTTCTGCCTGTTTTGCCTCTGGACTCTGTTGTTCTTTCTCTGGATAGTGCTCTCTCTATGAAGCCTCCCTAGACTTCCTCAATCAGCAGCGATCACCAGAGCATCTACCAAGGCGCCCCCCCCCCCCCCCCCCCCCGCCAGTGCTTGGGTGTAGCTGTAGTTTAATATCACATCTTCCTGTTTGCTGGGGCCGAGGTGGGCCTCCTGCCATTCAGCGCTTGCCCACAAGGTGGCATCCAGTGCATGTGGCTGGTCCCATTGACATGCAGGTCCAGGGAACCTTAGTGTCTGTTCCTACTTGTGGCCAGCAAAGTGGGAAGCCTGTAGAGAGCCTTACATATCTCCTTCAACTGGGAAACTAAGGTCCAGACAGAGCACAAGGTCTCACAGAGCTCACCCAAGTTGATAGTAGAGATGGGGGTTCCAGTCTTTGCTGCCTCCTGCTCTCTACCCCAGCAGGGGGCCTGGTTGAGCTGGGACAGGATGGGCTGACAGACCTAGGAGAATGCAGACCTTGGGCTCACAACTGGTGGCCACATGCCAGCCCCATCTCCAGCTAGTATTGGCCCCAGCCTGACTCTGAGATGGCTTATCTCCCCCAGGGAAACTGAGGCAGAGGAGCTCTGCTCTACCCAGCTCCCAGGACCTTGTGACCACTGTGCTGACTGCTCTGTGGCCCTGGGAGGAGGGAGCAGGAGCCACAGCCTCTTTGAGCAGCCCCTTGCCCACTTCCACATCAGGATGCCCAAAAGGAGGTGCCTAAGTATCTGGGGAGATGGGGATGGGGACAGGTGACCAGGAGACCCTGAGGGACGAAATCATTTTCCTTCTCAGGATGAGTTGGGGGCTAAGCCAGTGGACTGGAGCCCGAGAAGGCATGGCAGGTTCCAGCAAGATGCGGGGTCAAGCAGTGCTCTGTGGCCAGGGCCACTCCTGCCCTCCCTGTGCAGCCCTGATGCTTCCCCAACCATGCTCAGGATGCATGGTTGCAGAAATCTGTGGATTCCTGAGCACTGCAGCTTCAGCTCCAGCTGGGAACCTTCTGGGTGGCCAGGGCCTCAGATGCTGAGGGCAGGGCACTCCGTGGGAGTGGTGGGAGAACAGGGGAAAGAGGGTCCCCTTACTTTCAGCCCAAGTTCTGCCCCTTGCTCTCACCCCCGACTTTGTTCCCCTTCATCATCTATGGCTCCTCTTCCCCTCAGGCAGAGCTCAGGGCGGAGGATATGAGTGCTGTAGAATTGTGGGTATGTAGGGCAAGGAAGCTCCAGGGAGACCCCACCACTGACACAGTCACCCTAGGGCCCTTAGAAGGGCCCAGACCCAGAGGTGACGGGCACTGGAGATGTCCTGGGCATGGGTGGGTCCTGTCTCCCACCCCAAAGCAAGCCTGGGAGCAGATTTGGGGCTCAGGAGGCCAGCAGGAGACAGGAGAGGCTGGGCATCCACCTCTTGCCAGTCCCAGCCAGTCCTCAAGCCCTGCCCAGGGCTTACAATCCCTTCTGAGGACATGTATGCTCTGTTGGGGGAGCTGAGGCAGCCAGCTGAGGCTTTGGGAGCCTGAACTCAGGGCCAGGCTTGGGAAGGGGTCTCTGCCAGATCAGCAAGAAGCAAAGCAGAGCCCAGAGAGCATGTCCCAGCCAGTCCCTCCTCCCCTAACCCCTCAACTACTCTGACCGCACTTCCAGACCCTCTCTGGGGCCATTCTGTGAGAGCTGCGTGATTTGCCCTCACAGTCATCTCTCTGTGCCAATGGTCCAAGCCCCAGCAGCACTAGGCTCTCCCCCCAGCAAGGTGCAGGTGGATGGGATGCCCTGGCCTGCTCCCGCCTCCTTCCTTCTGGTCTCTCCGCCCAGGGCTGGGTGGAGCCAGCAGCCCCTTATAAGTGACAGCCTGGTGGCAAGCCAGCAATTTGCAGCCGGCGTCAGGACTGGACCAGGCTGGCAGCTCCCGTTCCCGGCATGGCCCCTTTGGCCTGGGCCATCTGCTGCTGTCTCTTGGGAGGCCTCCAGCTCAGCAGAGGCAGCCCAGGCCCTGGAGTGCCCCGTCTACGGCTCCCCTATCGAGGTACCAGCTGGCTGGGAGTACCCAGTGCTTTTCTGGTGTGGGTGGGTGGCTGCCCCAGGGTCCAGGACACCCCATGATCTGTCCTGTTTGTCTGAGGAATGGAGTGCCTCCCAGCATGGGCCTTTGGTGGGGAGACTTGGGGGAACTTCCCAGGCTGCCAAGAAAGCAGCTCCTGGGAGCTGGGAGCAGGCAGAGGTGGGAGAGTTGTGTGTGGATGTGGCAGTCTAAGCAGGCTGCCAGGAAGGGAGAGACCCAACAGAAACTTGGGTGGTCAGGGAAGAGGGGTGACAGAGCAGGCACATCGGGAGACTCCCCCTAGAGCTCTTTGCCCAGAGTGGACAGCCAGGAGGAGGGTCAGCAGCTGGGCCACAGGAAAAATGGAGCCCCTGTCACCGTAAGCCCCTCCATCTCAAGGGTCCTCTCTCAAGGATTGGCCACCCAGTGCCACCTGTTGTCTGGGTCCTTGTGCTTTAGCCTGGGCGAGAGGCCCAGCTATAAGGGTCTCCTCCTGCAGCAGCAGTAAGAGCTCCCAAGACACAGGTTAGCAGCAGATCCTCCATGGGGGACCACTGGGAACTCCAGTCTGAGGTGGGGGTACCCAGACAAGGAATATGGTCCTGCCCCAGGAACCGTGGTTCTGGGGAGAGCCTTGGCTGGAGGGGAAAGCATCAAATAAGTCACCATGTTGTCCAAGGCCTGCCAGTCATAGGGGGCTTCCTGGAAGAGGATGGGTGCTGGCGCAAGGTGTTCCTGCTCCTCCAGGCCTTCAGCACCTCCTTCTCATGGCAGTCTGCTGGCTCCCCCACTATGCCCACCCATTACCTGTACCTCCACCTCCTCAAACCAAAGGGCTGTCAGGATCCTCCACTCCTGTCTCTGGACCCAGGATGGGCTGGGTACTGCTCCTGGTCCCTCCAACATCTCCCCCTGACAAGGAATGGTCTCCCCTGCCCAGCCACCTCACTGGGCTGTCCTGGCACTGCCACCCTCTGTCCAGAGCAATCTATCCTAAGGGCTGGTGGGAAGATGTTGGCTCTGGGCTCCCAATCTGAGGAACAAATGGTGGGAGGCAGCCCTGGTGGGCCAGGCTGGGCTGGGTGGGAACCTTGGGAAAGCAATGTTATGCAACTGGAAGGGAAGATAGTGGGGGAGGGGCATGTACAGTTGGAAAACCTCCCCCCTACACACCCTAGCTGGGCGAGGAGGCTGAGCTACAAGCCCTGAAGTACCCCCTTCTGCACCTCCCCTACCCCAGACCTCCTGTCTGCCAACCGCTCAGCTGTGTTCCTGGGTCCCCGCGGATCTCTGGATCTCCGGGCCATGTACCTGGATGAGTATCGGGATCGCCTCTTCCTGGGCGGCCGTGATGCCCTCTACTCACTACGGCTGGATCAGGCCTGGCCGGATCCCCGAGAGGTGAGCCTGTCCCAAGAGGCAATAGGTGGGGCAGGAGCTCTCTGCAAGCTGGGCACGTCCACCTTGGCATCCAGGTGAGGAAACCGAGGCTATGAGGTCAGCCCAGTGAGAGCTGGGTTATGTTGCAGGTCTTGTGGCCACCACAGCCGGGACAGAGGGAGGAATGTGTTCGCAAGGGGAGAGATGCTGTGGTGAGTACTATGCACAGTGCCTGCTCCAGACCCACTGACACCCAGGGCCTCTGCTCGGGCAATATGCCAGCAATGGTTTACACTGTCTTTTCCCGGGGTCTTGGGCTCTGCCTCACCCCATGAGTCGCCCTCCTTTCTCCCCTAGACCGAGTGTGCCAACTTTGTGCGGGTTCTTCATCCGCTCAACCGGACCCACTTGCTGGCATGTGGCACGGGGGCCTTCCAGCCCATCTGTGCCCTCATTGTGGTTGGGCACCGTGGGGAGGTGAGCCTGCCCCTCCCCTCCTGTTGTACCCCCAGGGTCTGGGAGACAGTGACATTTCCTCTCTGCTCCCTCAACGCCTCTCATTGAGCTCCAGTCAGGACACAGAGGGGCAGGGACCTGAAAGAGGTCTTTGTGCGGGAGCTGGCCCCATTCGTTATGCCCCACATGAGGGCACCTCTTGCTACCCCCCATCCGCCAGTTGCACGCGAGGCTTACCACCATGGGGCATATACATAGCGGAAGCTAGGGCTTCTCTCTTCCCACTCCCAGTGATATTATCCCTTTGATCTCTCCTCCCCAGCACCTGCTCTACCTGGAGCCTGGCGGTGTGCAGAGTGGGAGGGGGCGTTGTCCGCATGAGCCTAGCCGGCCCTTCGCCAGCACCTTCGTAGGTGGGTGATACCCAGGCCAGGGAGGGGTTGGGCACTGGCCTTGGCCTTTCTCCCGACTCTGCACCCTTGCTCAGGTGGGGAGCTGTACACGGGCCTCACTGCGGACTTCCTGGGGCGTGAGGCCATGATCTTCCGCAGCGGAGGCCCCCGGCCAGCCCTGCGCTCCGACTCTGACCAGAGTGTCCTGCATGGTGAGGCCTCATGAGGCCAGGGCCACCCCACTTGGCACAGAGTGGGGTGGAGTTGCCCAAGTGGGGAGGGTGCCAGTGTTATTTCTCCACCTTGGGTTCCCCCTCCCATGCATAATCTTTCCCGGACAATTCCCCAACCAGCATCCCTGTTACCTGTCCAGATCCCCGGTTTGTGATGGCTGCCCACATCCCTGACAACTCTGACCATGCTGATGACAAGGTGTACTTCTTCTTCTCGGAGACCGTTCCCTCGCCGGATGGTGGCCCGGGCCGTGTCACTGTCAGCCGTGTGGGCCGAGTCTGCGTGGTGAGAGGACCAGAAAGGGATGTGTGAGAGTCATGTCTTGGCTGCATCCCCCTCCCCATGCCTGCTGCTCCGGTCCATGAGCAGTGGGGAGAGTGAGGCAAGGAAGAGGAGGAAAAAGCTGGCATCTATAGCTTTACACAGTGGGCAGCAGTACTGGGGAGGCAGTGGAGACTCAAGGCTGATCCATCCACCTCTGCACAATGGGTGACAGTGTGGGGGTGGCAGTGGGGACCCAAGGCTGACCATGGTCCCCTCTTCCTCAGAATGATGCCGGAGGTCAGAGGGTGCTGGTGAACAGGTGGAGCTCCTTCCTGAAGGCCAGGCTGCTTTGCTCTGTGCCAGGCCCTGGGGGCGCTGAGACCCACTTCGATCAGCTGGGTAAGGGATGTCCTGGCAGGTCTGGGTGCTGGCAATGGGCAGAGGCAGTGGCCAGGGCTGTGATGTGTGTGTCCTCTCTGTGTCCCAGAGGACGTGTTCCTGTTGTGGCCCAAGGCAGGGAAGAGCCCGGAGGTGCATGCGCTGTTCAGCACTGTCAGGTGGGTGAGGCCTCCCTGCCCTGTCACCTCCAACCTGGGCCCAACCCCCACCCCTTTGGTGCTTTTCTGCCTTGCCAGGGGTCTATGTCTTTGTCTCTGTTTCGGGTACCCTTGCCTTGCTTTTTGGAGGCTCTATTTGCTGCAGGCATTATCACTTTCTGCCCTATCTGGGGGTGCCATGTTGTCCCCTCCCACCCCTGGCCTGACTGTCTCTCCCCTTGGCAGCGCTGTGTTCCAGGGCTTTGCCATCTGTGTGTACCACATGGCAGACATCTGGGAAGTCTTCAACGGGCCCTTTGCCCACCGTGATGGCCCTCAGCACCAGTGGGGGCCTTTTGGGGGCAAGGTGCCCTTCCCCCGCCCTGGTGTGGTGAGTTTGCCTGCACCTGGGTCAGGCCAGGGGAAGCAAGGTGTGTCCTTGTGCTGTCCCATGGGCATGCCTGGGCTGGGTTCCCGGGGCCTGGGCTGAGGAGGCTGTGCTGGAGTGGGGAGTGCAGACAGGTTGGGCAGCGGGGAGCATGCCACCTGGCACTCCTCAGCCACCCCCTTGATGAATGATGTTCTGCTGCCCACAGTGCCCCAGCAAAATGACAGCGCAGCCAGGGCGACCCTTTGGCAGCACCAAGGACTACCCGGATGAGGTGCTGCAGTTCGCCCGGGCCCACCCCCTCATGTTCCAGCCCGTGCGGCCTCGGCAGGGCCGCCCCATCCTCGTCAAGACCCACCTGACCCAGCAGCTGCGCCAGATTGCGGTAGACCGTGTGGAGGCAGAGGACGGGACCTATGACGTCATCTTCCTGGGAACTGGTAATTGAGCTGGGTTGGACTGAGCTGGGCTGGACTTTGCGATGTGTTGGGGAGTGGGGCTGGGAGAGGTCCCAGGCTCCCCTTCCTCTTGTGCTGACCTCTCCTCTCCTGCCCTAGACTCAGGCTCTGTGCTCAAAGTCATGGCCCTTCCGGCTGGAAGCTCAGTGGAGCCAGAAGAGGTGGTCCTGGAGGAGCTTCAGGTGTTTAAAGTAAGCAGGCAGGCTGAAGGGAAGTCCAGGGCTGAGCCTGACTGCTGGGGAACAGAAGGGGTCTCCAGGAGCCTTCTGAATAGCTGGGGCCCCCGAATAGGGGGCTGCAGCCTAGGACCCTGGGGATGGAGGGAGGGTCTGGGTGAGCATCCCTCAGCAAAGCCCTGGCCCACACAAGCCACGGTGATGAAGTGGCTGAGACTCCAAGCCCCAAGGGGATTGACTGGGGCAGGACTCAGCCATGGTTCCTGGACTGCTGGGCCACAGGGCTCTGGGAGGGGACAAGCTTGGAGACCAGCCAGGAGGAAGGGGCCTTTCCTGTGACCTGACATCTGGGAAAAGCTGTCTAGTCTTGGTGGCCATGGGATGCAGTGACCCCAGCTGAGAAATGGGGCTCCCACCCCTGGAGTTGGAGGAGGCTGAGATCAGAGATTGGGCTATACGGGACAAAAAAGAGGACTCTTTCCTTTGACCCCCAACCCACCCCACATTGAGACTCTCCTCCCACCCCAGGTGCCAGTGGCCATCACGGAGATGGAGATCTCTGTCAAAAGGGTAAGAGCCACTGACACTCCCTCCACACACCCCTGCCCACATTTGTGGCTGCCTCCCCGGCACGGCCATGGTTCCCTGCAAACTGTGCTGAAAGCCCAGAGCCAGCAGGGAACTAAACTCCATCTGCAGGGCACCAGGCGACCATGGAAGAAGCCAAACTGTGTTTCCACACTGGGGGTGGGGGAGACTCAAATACCAGCTCTCAACAGAGGCAGAAAAGCACAGGTTGAAGCCAGGAGTCAGAAACTCCATCCACTGATGGTGGCAGGGCCCTTGGATCACCCTCTGCTGACTTCCTGGGTGCGTTAGCAGGAAGCTGAATGAGAAGCAGTGGAGCTGGGATGTCTGTGTCCAAGCAGTGCCTAAGGGGCTGTGTCACAACACCAGCCCCCAGATTTTAAATCAAACCAGGGAATTGCTTCTTAGAGGACTGCTATGAGCCCTGTGGCAAGAGGGAAACCTCAAGTACATGGAAAACAGAATTGAAAGTTCCCTTTGGTGCAGAAAAAAAAAAAATCATACATAGGAAAAGGCTCTTCAGAAAGTTCTATGTGTTATGAGAAAGCTATCTGGATTTCAGAATTTATTTTTTTGGTACTGAAGTAGATACCCTTAAGTTCCATGAAACTTTTGTTGTACTCTGGCACCATGTCCACCACCAAGTTCTGCCCTGGAATTGCCTACAACAGGGTGTACCTCTGAAGTCCTGGTCAGCTCAAGGCCACTCGGGTAGAGGAAATAGGTCGAAAGTAGGGGTATAGGGGTGGGGATGCCCCTCAAAGAGAGGATGCTGGGAGTAGACATTTATTTAACACAGTGGTCAAGACCCTGCTTGGGATGGCACATCCCATAGCAGACTGCCTGGGCCCCAGGCCCAGCTCCACTTCTCATGCCAGCTTCCAACATTCTGGGAGGCGTCAGGTGATGGCTCATGTACTCGATCTCTGCTATCCAGATGGGAAACCCTGAGGGAGTGCCAGGGCTTCTGCCTTGGGCCTGATTCAAGTAGATGGAAGATCCATTTCTCCCTCTCTCTGCATTTCAAATAACTAAAATTAAAAAAAAAAATCCTTCCCCCACCCACAAAACAGAAAACCCCTAGGCCTGCTCAACTCCCTCTACCCACTAGCTCAGGCTCGGGGGGATGACAAATGAATGACAGTGAGTGAACCCACTGCATACCTGCTATGTCTCTCCTAGCAAACACTTTACGTGGGCTCTCAGCTGGGGGTGGCCCAGCTGCGATTGCACCAGTGTGAGACATATGGCAGCGCCTGCGCTGAGTGCTGCCTGGCCCGGGACCCCTACTGTGCCTGGGATGGTGTCTCCTGTACCCGCTACCGTCCTGGTCCCAGCAAGCGCCGGTTACGCCGGCAGGACATTCGGCATGGCAACCCTGCCCTGCAGTGCCCAGGCCAGAGCCAGGATGGTAAGTGGCTGTGGCAGGCACCCAACTTATCCAGGGAGCTGGGGAGTGTGGTCTCAGACTGGTCCAGTCCCAACAGTCCCCAGCTTCCCTGTCTGGGCAGCTCTCAACAGCATGTGGGTGCGGGGTCTTTGGATACAGTGACTAGCATGGATTTGGGTGGGCCTTAGGTCATTAGATAACACTGGTGACACAGTTCCTGGGTTGTGGGAATCAGTCTGTGACTCCTGGGGCTTGAGTGCCCTAATTCCAAACCTGGGCCCCTCTGCAGATGAGGCCTGGGGACATGTGGTGACCACCACAGTCTACGGCACGGAACACAACAGCACCTTCCTGGAGTGCCTGCCCAAGTCGCCCCAGGCCGTCGTGCGCTGGTTCCTGCAGAGGCCCGGAGACCAGAGGCCTGACCAGGTGAGCAAGCATTCTGTCTGCAGTCCAACTTTGTCCCCAAACTCCAGGGGGAGGTTCCAGCTAAGAGAGGTGGACCTTGGTGGGGGGTAGAGGAGCTGGAGCCACATGCCACTGGGACTCTGAGAGGTGAGTGGAGGGCAGGGCATGGGCTGGTCAGAGACCCCATGCCCAAGCACACAGGACTCATCAGTGATGGGGATGTGGGGAGCTCTTCTGCAGGATGTCTAAGTGCTTGCCTGTCCCAGGCTGGGGTCATGGTCCCCACTTTTCACCCCATTCTTGACCCCATGTTCCTCAGTTAGAGACAAGCTGTCTTCCCAGGCCTTCTGCTCCCCATTTTAGAAAGAACTGCCAGCCCCAGAGATGCTTTCAACCAGGGGCCTGAGGCCCCAGATGGCGTGGGCTGGGCAGGGCAAGGAGTCTTCCCCAGACGGGGGGAGGGGAAGGAGGCGACTGCAGCTTGGGAACTGGGGGAGGCTGGCCTTGGCCCAGCTGTTGGGTTGGGCACCAGGATGACTCCCGGGGTGGGGGAGATGGAGTTACACAATGCTAATCACCCGGGAGGCCAGCCCGCTCCCTGCACATGCTCAGACAAAAGCTGGCTGTTGGTGCTTTCCTCCTACCCACCCCACCCACCCCCATCCTCCCTCACCCTGGCTGGGGCCTGCCAACTCTGTGTGGAGAGTGCAGACCAAGGAGGGGAGGGCCCTGTGTGCCTGGGGGTCCAACCCTTGAGAAAAGCCAGTAGACAGTCCCTCTGCCACTGAGGTGTATCTGTCAGACCCTCTGAGGCAAGAAAAAAATGGCCCTTGCAAAGCCCCCTTCGTGAGCCATTTCCCAGGCTAGGGGAAGGCAAGGCCCCTGACTAGGTGAGTTCGGGGTCCGGTCTCTGTGACCGTTGAAAGAACCCAAGCATGGCCCCTAGGATGGCCAGTCTGGCAAAGCGGGAAGCAGGGAAGCTAATGGCTGCACCTCCCCACCCCCTGGCCTCTACAGGTGAAGACAGACGAGCGGGTGGTGCAGACAGAGCGGGGGCTGCTGCTGCGTAGGCTGAACCGCAGGGATGCCGGCACCTACACCTGCAGCACACTGGAGCACGGTTTCTCCCAGGCCGTGGCCCGCCTGGCTCTGGAGGTCATCCTGGCCACACAGCTGAACAGCTTGCTTCCCCAGGAGCCCCCTGCCTTGGGCAATCTGGCCTCTGTGCCACCCAAGACCTGGTACAAGGATATCCTGCAACTCACTGGCTTTGCCAACCTGCCCCGGGTAGATGAGTATTGTGAGCGTGTATGGTGCAGTGGTGGCCCAGGCTCCTTCCGAAGGGGCAAGCAGGCCAAGGGCAAGGGGTGGGTGGGGTTGGAATTGGGCAAAAAGGTGAAGAGCCGTGTGCAGGCGGAGCGCAATCGCACTCCTCGGGAGGTGGAGACTGTGTAGGGGCGGCCAGAGAGAGGGGGACTCAGCAGCAGCCCCACCGTCTTCCACCCACCCTGCTAGGAGTCTTGGTACACCCCACAGGAAGGACCAGGGGCCTGATGGAAGGGGTCCTGCCCCTCTTTGGGCTCTTACTTGCAGGCTGCAACTGGCACCCTCTGGCTGCTGGCAGGCCCCAGGGATCTGCCATTTGTTCTCAGAGGTGGCTCACTTCCAACAGCACATTTCCGGTGGGCCATGCCCAGAGGTGAGAGGGTTGGGTGGGTTTTTTTCCCAGCCTGCAGAACAATGGCCATTCCAAGTGATCCTCTGGAGCAGGGGTGGTGGCTCTAAGGAGGCATCTGGGCCAGACGGAGCCCTCAGAGGCAGCCTGAAGAGGGGAGGTGGCCTTTAGGCTGGCACCTGCTAAGGAGAGCACACCCTGGCGGGAAATAGAGGGGCAAAGCAGTCATACCCACTTCAGGCCCTGGTAACTCAGTGACACCCCATGGGGCCCACTTTTTCATCTTAGAATTATAGAAGCCTGAGCTATTTAGCTTCCCAGGGCCTGGGCTTGGGGCTTCTCTTTATATAACCCAGGAAGAGGAGATGCCACAGCCCCATGCCATCCCACAGGGGCAGGGTGGGCTCTCAAAGAAGGCCATCCCTCGTCTGCATGTCCTGGAGGTGGCAGAGCAATGGTAGGAGGAAGTGGCAGTGCCAGGCATGCTGGCCCTGGGAGGGGAGGTTTGCTGAGGCTGTGCTTGCTGCAGCCGCTGGCCACCAAGAATCAAGAGGTTACAGAGAAGACGGTGTGAGAGACCCTCCAAGAAGGGCTAGGGACCTGGGAGCAGGCGTCTTCAGGGATGCAAGATGGCACTACGAGATTCGCAACCCTGGAATCTGTATCGTCTGCCACACAAGGATTGGGTGCAGATGGTTCACTTACTGGGCCGGTATGTCTTTTAAGACAAAACACATGTAAAGAAAAAAGCTGCAAAGAACCCTAAAGCCTGCCATTTCTTGGGGGTGAGGCTCAGGGGCCAGGCTACCTTCTGCCTGAGACAGGAGCGGGGGCTTTTCATGGGCAGCAATTTCCCTGGTCTGGGGAACCCTGAGGGGGTATAGGACTATCTCCCTATCTGAGGCAGGGACACAAACAGGAAGGAGGCCAGCACCCCAAGATTCCCTCTAGTAGAAAACCAAGAGGAAGAGAGAAAGGAGAGGGGAATGCTGACAGCACCTCTTGTCCCACTGAGGCTCCAACCCCACAGTCTTAGCAGTTATGTCCCCATCCTGGGTGCTCCCCAGTCTGGAATGGGAGATGTCCCTGCCTGTTCTCCCTTTTGATAAGACAGCAAGTGAACCCCCAGATCAACCTTGAGAAACCTTCTGGCTGCTGGAAGGACAGAAGTGCAAGCCAGGAAAGGAGACAGAGACTAGGGGAGGGGAGGAGAAGGGCAGGGTCCTACTCTGGCAAAGCAGGAGGAACAAGCCTTAAATTAGGTCCCGGCCTGGCAGGTTTCAGGCAGGTTCTGTCGGGGGAAGTTACCCTGGAAAAATGTGGTGGGGAGGGAGCACAGAGTACCTGCATGTAGGATTCTATGGACATCTTCCACAGTCCCTATGCCTGCGAGACTGTGCGATCCATTCCTGGAGTTGCCCTTCGTGTGGGAAGGCCAGCTTTATGTGGCAGTGTTAAGATGCATCTGTGGTTTCTGCACCATTCCAGCCCACTTCTAATCACTGAGGCCATTTCTGTTGTCCTATTGGCCCTGAGCCCTGGTGAGGAGGAGGGAAGGTACGGGGTTAATTTTATACCATCTGACTCTGTCCACACTGTGTCTGTGTATTTCTGTGCTAAGTGGCCTGGTTCCATCTGCAGGAGCTGAAAAAGTGGGGTGGTCCTTGCCATGCCCACACAGGGAGCCGCTCAGCCTCAGTGGCAGGGGTTAGGGTCAGACAGGGAGCAGTCTGAGGGCCTGAGCTGTAAGTCTGAGAGTGCTCGTCCAACTAGGAAGGCCTGCCCTGCGGGCTTATGAAACTGACCTTCTTGGAACGTCCAGGAGGATCCTGAGCCAGAATTAAAAAAAAACCCCAAAACAAAAAAACAGCGGCTGGCTGGCAGGGTGCAGCAGGCAGCTCCCTCTGCCTCCCCAATAACACTTGACACTTCCCCTCCTGTTCCCAGCCACATACCAATGTCTATTAAGGCTGGCTGCTCCTGCCTGCCCCCATAGCCCTCTGGCTTCAGGGAGGAGGGAGGCCAAGGAGTCTGACCTGCAGGGCACCCTCTGACGCTGGCTGCCCCAGCCCCAGGGACAGACTGCTCCTGCTGGCAAGCACCAACATACCCCACCAAGGAGAACACTGAGGCCTGACTTGGCCTGACACCCCCAAGTCATTGTCACTGCTGAGGGGCATCGTCTGAGTACCAACCCACATTGGGGGCTGGGTGGGTACAGAGTGCAGAGGCAACCTCCACAGCCCCCACACTCCTGGGGCTAGCCTAGTGCCTCTGCTCCCAGCCACTGTGCCCTGTAGACTAGTTGCACCAGGGCCCTGCTCTCCCCTCTCCCCCACCTCCCATCCTGAGACCCATTTCCTGTAGCAGCGATTTTACCCTTGGCTCTATCTTCCTCTCACAGCTTTTTCCTCTGAGTCCCAGGCTTCCCCTGCTCCCAGAACTTCTGTTTCTAAATTTCCCAAAGAGGCCCGGAATGGGGAAGGGGCTTCCAGTGGTGAGATGAACACTTCCCAAATGACATCCTGTGAAACAATTGCCCAGGGTCCACCACCATCTCATGGTCCCCATGGTCAAACCACTTGGGCTCCCTGTCCGCATCCCAGTGCGATCCCCAGATAGCCTGTGATGACCATCACCCCTCCAAGTGCCTACTGTGTGCTAGGTGATCCTCCAGAATATTCAGGCCTCCCTTTTCCTGGGAGCAGCCAACAGCTCATGTTTACAATATTTTAGAAAACTCATGATGACATCAAGGCTCTTTGATGCAATCAGCATATGGAGTTGATTCGTTTATCTCTCAGTGCCTGAGACCCCAGGTGAGACAGCCAACATGTTGATTTCCTGTGGCCTTTCCAGAGAAACACCTGCTGCCCCAGGCATGGGCTGCCAAGCCACCAGTCTGCTGATCCCCCTGCCGCCACCCTGGGCCTGGACTCTGGTTCCCTCTTCCCTCTCCTGGGTCTGGCATGGTTTCCGGAGAAGGCCAGCATTCACGCCAAGCCTGTGGCTGTCCTGCAGTCCAACAGACTCACTCCTAAGGAGGGAGTGGGGGACAGGGAGGGGCAGATCAAGGGTGGACAAGAGCCCCTTTTGCTTTTTCAAATGGCCCTCCCCTTAGCTAAGTGGAGCTCGGGCCTGGTGGCCTTGGGATCCCAGGAGGGGGAGTAGACAGAGCCAGCCAGTCTTGCCCGTCCATGGGTGGTGGCTCTGGCCAGGTGTGTCCCTGGGGTCTGATGCAGAGCAGCAGCCTGAGGCCCTGGGGAACCCCATGGCTTCCTAGAACCGGAAGGCAGCTGCTCAGCCACAGCCCAGTTTCCATCTGAGTCCAGGACCCGCCCTAGTCTCACCCAAGTGCTGGGCTGCAAATGCCTCCGTGGGAGAAAGTTCATCTTGCATGGAGGACAAGTCCCCAGGGACTTCTAAGCCAACAAAAGTGGAGGGAGACCGCGTGAGAAGGTCTGGGTTTGGGCACGGCTGGTGTCCAGGAGCGGAGAAGAGGCAGATGGTTCTGGGGCCTGCCTGGGTTTCCCACTGCCCGCCTTTGCCATGGGCACCTCTGTTGGGTTTTCTCCCCACTGGGAGGTGGCCTAATGACGCTTTTCACTTTCCCCGCTGGACTTCAATTAAGGAAACTCCTGGTTCCTCTACCCAGCCTTAAAAAAAAAAAAAAGTTAACAATAAAACAATAAATAAATGAAAATCCTTCTCCACAGAGGATGGGAACTGTGATAAAATCTCCAGGGAGGCCTGGTGAGGGATGCTGGCCTAGCCTCTGGCCAGGCCTCAGTCAGCCAGCCAACCACCTGTCCTCAGGGACTCTGCTGACCTGCAGGCAGGGACTCACAAGACCCGTCCTGACCTCATCCACAGCAAGGAATAGAATAGGACCATGGGAATGCATGGGGGTGTTTCATTGCCCTGATCAGCCCACAGGGCAGAGAAGACCTGCCAGGGTGAGGGGATGGCTGTGGCCCAAATCAACAGAGGCCTGGAACCTGGTCACAGTATCTGCCATCTTGTGGCCATGATGAGCCTGCCAGGAGGTCAAGGCAAGCTGTGCCATCACCGATGAGGGTACAGAAGAGTGACGCGTTGGGCCAGCAGCTGGCTTTATGGACATGATCTCATCCCTTCACTCCACACACTGCCTCCACCCACACCCTCCCAAACACCCCCCCCCGATAAGGATCTGGTGCCATTTCCTGTAGTCCAAGGGTCTTGGACAATGGTGTGAACGGCTGGACCTACTGGAAAGCACATTGTTCGGGGAAGAAAAAATAACACATGCCATCACAAAGTCCGGGCAAGCCCTGTCTCCACATGAGGGCCTGTTTACAAATCCGTGATGTTCAAGGGGAGAAACACAATAGCAAATTGTTTTGGCGAGTGGGTGTCCCCTGCAGTGGGCTCCAGGGAGCTGGGGTTGGCTTTGATGGCCCAGACAGATCTCGGATGCTCTGAGAGAGATGGACCTGGATGACGCGGAGTCCTTCCTGTTTACTAGAACCAAGGTCAAGAAGCCAGTTATGCCCAAGACAAGGGGGAAGGGCCCTTTAACCGGGCCTCATGCCGACTCATGGCACAGGGACCCCAGGGTGACAAAAGGTTTCCTGGGGGAGGAAATGAAGACAGGGCATGATTTTTTTGTTTCGTGACATGTTTACACTGCTCTTAGGGAAACCTGCAGTCCATTTTGGAGTGCCTGGTTTGAGTATCGGCTCCCCTGTATGTTCCAGCCCTCTGCTACTGCACATCCCAGGAGGAGCAGTTATGGCTC